GAACTCCATCCGGGTCTCCCACATGGGAGGCAGGGACCCCAAGGACTTGGTCTATCTTCCACTGCTTTCCCAGATGCATTAGCAGGGAGCTGGTGCTCATATGGGATGCCAGAGTTGCAAACTGGAAGCTTAACTTGATGTGCCACAGTGCTGGCCCTGGGAAGGCACTGAGTGAATGTGAACCCTCCTTATTTCTGGAGCTTCTTTCAAGTTGTCCCTGACTTAAAGTGGTCCAGCTTAGTATTTTTCAGCTTGGCTGTGGTGTTAAAATAGTATGTATTCACTGGAAACCGTACTTGGAATTGTGAATTTGGGTCTTTTGCTGGGCTAGCACTGTGCATCCAGCCCTCTCCTGTAGTGCTGGGAGAGCTCTGTGTTAGCAGTTGTTTCCAATGTTACATGTCGGTGTCTTCAGACCACCCTGTGGTATGAGTGCTGTCTTCTAACCCATATGCTGCTTGGTTCATGTGTTGCAACAGGACACTAGGAATTGTGTGGGGCTTTTTTTTTTTTAATGTTGTTCATACCTATTTGCATTCTTTTCATAGCTTCACATTGATGCCAAAAAGAAAATTAAAACCAAGCTCCCTGCGGGTCAATTTAAGTGATTATTTTGGCACCTAGTTGTGCTTGAAGTTAGAATTTGATGCTTTTATATCATACTTGGAAACAGTCCACACATCCTATTAGATTTGTGATTGATTCTCATCTGACTTTCAGTGCAGGAGAGTTCAATTAAATCATGAGGCATAGTCCTCTAGGTTTGCAGAGTTCTGGAGCGTCTCATAAACAGGAGGTCTGAAACAGTACTGTGTGGGAATGTCTTTGTCAGTGATTGCTGGTGTGGATAAGGTCGACATTAATTTCTCTCTCTGGAAATTTCATTTATGTACTTGCATTTGATACAGACAGAAAAAATTGTAACAATGGTTATGGAATTCTGAAGTTTGAAAAGATCCTTAGGGATTGTCTGGCTGTACCCTTTCGTCGTGTAGCTGAGAGAAAACGAGGCCAAGAGAGATAATGACTGGCTGAGTTACAGAGCAAATAGCTGTCAGATGAGGGGGACTGCATGTGGGCCTTCTGTCTGCTGGCCCTGACTGGCCCGACTCACCCCTCTTACGGTGTGGACGCAAACAGAAGTAGGTGTGAGATCACCAACCTCATGTGCACTGGTTTCGCTTCCTTTCTCTTATTAGGATCCAACCCTCTCAGGGGTAGTTATGTCAAGTTTAGCTCCAATTGCCTGTCTACAGTGGCAAAGTGGCTTACAGAACATTTGAAAAATAAATAAATCCTACAAGAAACTCTTTTAAGTGTTTTTAATTAATACTTCATTTTCCCAAATGACCAATGACCTAGTAGCAAATAGGACTAAAAAGCGTTTTTCTTTAGGTCTCTCTTTTTTTCAAGAGGAAACACAGCCAAATTTTCATTTTCACTAAAAGTTAAGAAGTGCTACCTCTGAGTAGAGGAAGATGACAATTCATTAGTTTCCATTTTTATATGTAGTTTAGGTTAATTAGGAACCTTTTAAAATTGTGTGTACTGAAGCTTTAATGTGAGCATAAGTTGGTTGAGCAATTTTAATTAAAACTTACCTCTGTTTTGAAATTAATTACTTTCAGCACTCTGGAAATTAATGAGACCTAGTCATAACACCTCCCATGTTGTGGATACTCAATAAATATTAGTTTGGAAGTTAGGACATACTTTGTATTTTAGAATCGCACACATATTATAATGTCATAAATTCTTTCCCAAATTTGAGAAATGCTTAACTATATCAAATTTTACTACTTCACATTTTTTTCTTTCCTACATAATTTTAAAAACTTTTTATTTAAGAATTATTTGATTTACCAAAAGTAAAAATAATAAACTTCTATGTGTGTAGATGTATTTATGTATACACATGGACAGTTGTTTTTCTCAACCATTTGAGCATAAATTACACACATACGTCCTCCTTCCTCAGTACTTCAATGTGTATTTCCTAAGGAAGAATATTCTTATATATAAGCAGGAAATGTACGTTTGTATTTTTATCTACTCCTTCTCATCTTGTCAGATGACCTAATAAAGCCCTTTCTTGGCCTTTTTCCTTTCGGGCACACGGTCCAGGGCCAGTACTGCATTTACTTGTCATGTCTTTGAGCCTCCCTTTGAATCCAGACAGTTTTCACAGCCTTTCTTTGTCTTCTATGACATTGACAAGTTGGAAGTGTGCACGTTGAGCTCGGCGGCTGCTTCCTCCAGACGAGGCTGAGGCCACGCGTTCCCAGTCAGAGCGCCGCGTTCTTGGTCCTGTCGGGAGGCACTTGAAGGCCGCCTGACATCTGGGTGATGAGCACTTCCATCACGCAGTGTGGCCCCTTTTCTGCACTGCGCAGTTGCTGAGATTTTTTCCTCCCGGTAACTAATAAGCCATCTAGAGGAAGACACTCTGAGACAAACATACCCTAGATGGAGAACCTGTTAGTGACTCCTGCCTCCCCCAGTCTTTACCGTGGTGGCTGCAAAGAGCATGTTGCCATTTGAAACTCCCTCCAACTTGGCCATGAGTCTGGGACTCTGTTATGAGCAATAGCCCCGCTTCTCTCCTCTGCTTATCTCTGTATCATCAGACGGACTCAGGTTCATTTTTCACAGTGGTTGGTAACTCCTCACTTACTGTTGCAGTGCTTTGCTCAACTAGATGTGGGGAGGAGGGCGCTCCTTCGAGCCAGCTCCCATTTTCTTGGGATAAACTCCTTCCAGTTTTCCCTCCATCTTGTCTTTGAGCACTTCTTTACTTTCCACTATAACAAAATGTTCTGGCTCATCGTGTACCTTTCTTGTCCCTCCCTTAGAATCAGACTTTTCCACCAGGAGTCCTGTTCCTCTCAGGAGGAATGGAATTGGAGAGGAAGATCTGGACACTGAGTGTGCTCATTGCTGCAGTGGTGTCTGGCATTTGGCCCTTTCAGCAGACAGAGGAAATCCTCACACCAACAGACATATTTAGACATCCTGCGTGCACACCGGTACCTCCACATCTACCCATCCCATAGAGTTCCTTTCGTCTTCCCCCATTCCACATTTGTGTGTTCTTTCCTAGTGAAACCACTGGCTCCCAACAACAGCAACACATTTGCTCATTTGCTCAGTCCTCTAGTATACTGTGTAGTTGCTTCAGGACTGCTTTGTCAGCACGGCACTGTGGCACAGTGGGTTAAGCCTCCACCTGCAGCGCCAGCATCCTAATGGGCGCTGGTTCGAATCCCGGCTGCTCCACTTCTGATCTAGCATCCCTACTATGGACTGGGAAAGCAGTAGAGGATGGGCCAGGTGCTTGGGGCCCTGCACCCATGTGGGAGACCTGGAAGAAGCTCCTGGCTCCTGGCTTCAGATCAGCCCAGCTCTGGCCATTGTGGCCGTTTGGGGAATGAACCAGGGGATGGAAGACTTCTCACTCTCTGTGTCTGTAACTCTGCCTCTCAAATAAATAAATATTTCAAAAAAAGAATGCTTTGTCACCTGTGCTACTATGGCAGATAACCCTAGTAAAAGCAGTTGGAGATTGTTTGGCAATTCCTCCCTCCTTGCCTGAGAATGAGAGAATGTAGTCAAATACGTATTCATGAGCTACTGGCACTATTCCTTCTTTTTCTTTTTCATTCATTACCCTTCAGTGTAGCTGTGCTGTTTGAACTAAAATCAGATTTCTTTGTTTTAGTTTGCTGTCATTTTTTAGTTCCTACCCCCATTCCCATTCTTACTGTTTTTATTGAGTATGTACAAGTGTGTCACATGATCTTACAAATCAAGACTATATTTGATTCCCATTTTCCGTTTTAGGGAGTAAAAGATAACATAGCTTAATAAAAGGACATGTGTTGTAACTATGTTCAGTTTTGTTATTTAAAATAAATTTTATCTATCAAGATTAAAATTCTAGGAGCTGATACTGTGGTACAGTGGGTTAAGCCACCATCTGCAGCTATAGCATCCCATATGGATGCTGGTTCAAGTCCCGGTTGCTCTACTTCCAATCCAGCTCTCTGCTAATGTGCCTGGCAAATCAGCAGAAGATGGCCCAAGTTCTTGGGCTCCTGCACCCCCCTGGGAGATCCAGATGAAACTCCTGGTTCCTGGCTTTGGTCTGGTTCAGCCCTGGCCATTATGGCCATTTGGGGAGTGAACTAGCAGGTTGAAGATGTCACTCTCCATCTCTGTCTCTGTCTGAAACTCTTTCAAATAACTTTTTTAAAAAATTATAAAGGAGCTTCATTTTTGGAAAGATGCTTGAGGCTTGAATCCCAGCTTTCTGCTAGTGCACTGCCATGGAGACAGCAGGTGATGGCTCAAGCACTTGGGTCCCTAGCACTGGCATGGAAGACCTAGATTGACTGCCACCTGGCTCAGCTCTGGCTGTTGTGGGCATCTGGGGAGTGAATCAGCCAATGGGAGATCTCTGTCTTTGCCTTTCAAATAATTAAAAAAAAAAAAAAAAAGAACAAGAAGGATCTTGTTCTGCCTAGTGGTTGGAGTGCACCTGGTCCTTAACTCCAGACCCCAGTCTGGGAAGATAAGCCTGGTCTCATCCACTCTGGTGCTTCATGTATCAGATAAAGAGGACAGCTGAAGTCTGAGAGCACGCTTCCGCCCCCGTGGCCAGGCCTCTGTGGGACACTTGGGCAGTGTTGGGAACTGGCTTCCTTGTGTGCACTCCTGCACCACCTCTGCCCCACGGTGAGGCCTGAGAGCGGCTGGGCCAGCTGGGCAGTGGTACCTTTGCTGTCCGCTGGGGCCATCTGCCGCGAGGGGCAGGCACACACCAGTTAGCTGAGTCCATGGCCCTTGCGGTCACCGTTTCTAATGACACATACTGGACTGACACATCTTTGGTCTGTGATAAAGCTGTAGCCACACCAGCTGTCACGTAGCTGGTTGAGGGAGCTGAGGGCATCTAGCCGGGGGGTGCCATAACATAGCTGTGTCTTTTCTCTGGGCCACAGCCTTACTTCAGATCCTGGCAGCTGCTGCAGCCGAGCGAGACGTGGTTTATTTCACCTTCGGGGACTCGGAATTGATGAGAGACATTTACAGCATGCACACTTTCCTCACTGAGAGGAAACTGACTGTTGGTAAGTAGCAGCTGGGCTTGACAGTCGCTATCGAGATGGATCGCCCCGCGTCCAGGAGGAGCACTTGCTGAACCCAGATGGATCGCGGTGGGGAAGACGGCTTTGACGGGGGAGGACAAGGCTTCTCAGTGGCAGCATTTGCCGTCTTTATCTCTGGCAGGTTCATCTGCAGTCTTGAGTATGTCATCTTACTAACAGCAGGCCAAGAAGCCCAAGTTAGTGCCCATTCTTACCTTTGTGTGTCTGGAAAATAAAATGGGGGAGACCGAGAGGCCCCCGGTCCGATTGGCAGATAGGTGGGCATGCCCCTGGAGCTGGGATGCCGTGTGAGCTCCCAAGTCAGTGCCTGCCGCGAGCGTGCGTGCACCAGTAGTTTCTTAAAGGTGGTTTTAAAGTTTTTAGGCTTATGTTGGGAAACCCTCTAAACATATAAAATTCGTGCTGTATTTTCAAAAGCCCAAGTCTGATCATCCTTCATTTAGGTCAAGGAGAAACTGAAGTGTTCTTTTGAACTTTTTTCCATTGACAAACGTTAATGTTGAATTGCTCTGGCCTCTGCCCTCCAGGAGAAGTGTATCAGCTGCTGCTGCGGTATTATAACGAAGAGTGCAGAAACTGCCCCGCCCCCGGCCCGCACATCAAGCTGTACCCCTTCATATACCACGCAGCTGAGTCCTGCACAGAGACCCCCGACCCAGCCGGGCAAAGGCCAGCGACCTGATGAGCAACAAAGAGAACCTCCTCCTGCCTCTCTCCAGAGACTTGCTGTTTGAATTGTCAGGGGAATGGATGAACTGACTCAAGTTAATATAAATGTGTATATAATCCACATTTGTAATCCAGGACGCGGTGTCCCTCCCACGTGTGTGGCGGTCGGCTTGTCAGTCTTAAGCGCCACTCCATCCTGATTAAGGTGGGCCTAGTTGTGTTTTCTTTCCATTTTCTTGTATTTCAATCTTCATTCTCTGAATCTTCTTTCTTTCACCCATCTCATTTCTTGTGGAAAGCCACAACGGGTTGTTCCCAGCCTGTCTCTGTCTCCATGCCTATATGAGCTCATATATTTTACAGATTGCTTCTGTAGCCAGCGGATGCCAGCCATGCCAGGGAAGAAGTCGAAATCCAGGAGTCTGTTTCACTGGGTTTGCTCAAAATCTCCCTGTGAGCCTTTCACCCCCAGCTGTTGTTATGCTTGCACTGTTTGAATTTTGAAAATTGAGAATTGGAGGTTTTTTCATACACGTGGCATAATGCAGGCCTTCTAGGTTAAAACAGTTCTTTATTTATGACAGGATAATATCCAGAAATGGTTCCTTGGAGCCCTTTACCTGTAATGGTTTCTCAGTCCCTTGTCCCCTGATGAGTGTTATTGATGACTGGTTCTGGGGACTGACTGAGATGAAAGGAAATGTGGAATAAAAGAGGGCTTTGCTTCGATGGTGTAAAGAAATCAGATTTGAGGGAGGTTTTTTGTTTCTTGAGATTCTTTTCCTTTGTAAGTCAGGATCGACGTTTGCTCTGTGGTGCTTTAGGTATATGCTCACAACCAAAGTTTGGGAACTGGAAACTTCACGCTGATCTGCGCCTCTTGGAGTTTCTGTGCTGTTCACAGGCTATGTAGCTAACAGATTCATTGAGAAAAATCATTTATCAGAAACCCCCGTATCATCTGTGCTTTGTGTATATGTAAACATGTCCACTTCAGTGTGTCGACATGTGAGCAGATAAACTCCAAGTAAAACTGGAGTAGTGACGGACGGTAGGCTGAGGCTTTCCTCATTTACAGTTGTGTCCGTTTGAGGCTGGCACCGAGCGTAAATGATGATGCTTTTTCACTTGTTAAAGTGCAGTAGAGCTTCCTTACAGAAGCACGCGCTTAGATTTCCAGAGCAGTCCCGGGCTTTCCAGACGGCTACCCGGGAGGGCGCCTCAGCAGGTGGTCTGCGTTCCCACTGTCAGCGCCGGCAGGGAAAGGGGGTCCTCAGCCAGGGTCCCTAACTCTCTTTGTCTGTGTAAAGACCTGGCACCTGAAGGCAGCCGCTTGTCACCAATGGAGCTTACCACCAGGCTAAGATTGCCCGACAGCGTGCAGATCCGAGGAGCCTGCCGTTCTTCTGCCAGCACTCACGTCTCTGTCCTTCCCAGCCCACTCTATGCCTTGGTTAAGCATTCGCGGGCGTATTTCCTTTCCACGTTTTTTGCCATCCCCATGCTCTGCTCGTCTAACCGTAAGACCAGGGGGACAGTTCTTTAAGATGTTTCCTGAACAGAATAGATGGGTTTTCATGGTAGAGAAATCACTAAATCCAGGTTAGCAGAGCCCTGAGCCCACCATTCCAGAACACAGAAGCCAAGACTGCTCCGGGTGCTGTCGACCCCACCGCCTCCTTGCTGTCAAGGGGTTCCTGAGAGGAATCCCAGTTGTTCCGGCAGAGAGACAGCTATGCAGGTGGAGACATGGACAGAACTTGAGGGGGGCAGAAAGTGGAGAGGACTCGGTACTTTGTCCTTAAATGCTTTCTGCAAAAATAAAAAAATCAAACATCTAATTAAGCCTTGTGTCTCTGTTCTGAGGTGTTTAATAGCCTCTTGCTCTCTGTCATCTGGGTTTATTGCTTCATTTCATGTTGCTGACTCCTCCCCTCCTTAGTGTACCAGGGCATGAGAGGATGCTTTCGGTTTGATATTCTTGGGTTTCCTATTTGATCCTGTCCCGCTCCCACAGATACAGGGACAGTTTACAGAGCAGTGTGCGGTGGTGGAAAGGGCATGAGGTTTTCAGTCAGGGAAGCTGGGCTCAAATGCCACCACACACTCCCAGCTCACTTTTTTTGTTTTTTAAGATTTATTGTATTTATTTGAAAAGCAGAGTTAGAGGGAGAGACAGATCTTCCATCTGCTGGTTGACTCCCCAAATGGTAATGGTAGCAACGGTCAGGGTGTGGGTCAGGCCAAAGCCAGGAGCCTGGAACTCCATCTGGGTCTCCCAAGTGGGTGTCAGGGAACCCACAATGGCTGGAGCTAGGCCATGCGGAAGCCAGGGGCCTGGAGTTCCATTCGGGTCTCCCAGGTGGGTGGCAGGGCCATCCTCCACTGCGTTCCCAGGCCTTTAGCAGGGAGCTGGATCTGAAGTAGAGCTGTCAGGACTCGAATCACACTCAGGCAGGCAGGCACAGCAGGCAGTGGCCCAGCTCGCTGCACCACAGCGGCCCCCATGATGCCACTTTCCATTTGAGGTGTTTGCACAGGTGCTCATTCACAACATTCAGAGTGTATCTGAGACCCTCAGGGCGGGGTGGGGAGCTTTTGTGTGTGGATTTACTGATCCCCGTTAGATGTGAGGTGTGCAGACAAGGCATCATATCGTGAGGGCTCGCAGAGATAAAGAGAGGTCTGGCTGCATTGTTTTTCTTCTTTGCCAGCTTCCTGAGGTCCTGGTGTTGTTTCCTTTTCCTAATTCCATCTTCCCTCCAGAGAGCCCAAATCAGGACCCTGAAGGTTCTGAGAACTAAAGCCCACTCATAGCATTTTCTCTTCACGTCCCTGTACTCAGCCCGCAGAAATGAGTTGCATTTTTAGGCTAGTGGTTCAGAAGCTTGAACAGCACCTTACATTGGTGACGCTCACCAGTGTTGAATTCCCCTCCACGAACTTCTCTGGGGAGTGTTGTATAAACAAGTAGCCTAACACGTAACAAGATGGGTCGACCAGATGTCCTTTCCAGACTTCATAAGGGAGCTGAGAACCAGCACTTGCCACTGGAGGTCCAGCAGTTGTTCCCAGGGTGGGCTTGGTGGCACCGGCATGGTGCTTAAGCCACTGCTTAGGACTCGGCCGTCCTGTACTGGAGTCCACCTGCGCTGCTGACCTAGCTTCCTAGTAATGCGTACCGTGGAAGGGGGCAGGTGATAACTCAGGTTCTTGGGGGCCTGCCGCCTATGTTGGGGGTGGGAGTCCCAGAAGGAGTTCCAGGCTCCTGCTGTTGTGAGCATTTGGGCAAGTGAACCGCAGCTGGGCGGTCTCTCTGTCTCTCTCTGTTACTCTGTCTTTGCAATGAAGTAATAAAACCTTCATGTTGAAAGGAGAAGAGAAAAAAGATGGGGACCGAAGCAGTGTTCAAGGAAAAAATTTTTTAAAATTTCCCAAATTTGGCAAAAGGCACAAACCTACAGATTGAAGAAGCAGAGTGAATTCCAAAAGAATGAACCCTAAAAATTACTTACCATAACATATAACCAAATTTCTGAAAACTACAGAAAAAAAATCTTGAAAGTGTGAGGGAGGGAAAATGACAGATTATAGGACAAACACAATTGAGACAGCAACAGAAATCAGACTTCAGGAAGGCTAGAATGAAGCCCCAGCAGTGTTTCTGTCAACGCCGAGTTCTGTATCTAGCAAACATAATACTGCAGGCTGGCGCCACGGCTCATTAGGCTAATCCTCCGTCTTGCGGCGCTGGCACACCGGGTTCTAGTCCCGGTTGGGGCGCTGGATTCTGTCCTGGTTGCCCCTCTTCCAGGCCAGCTCTCTACTATGGACCAGGAGTGCAGTGGAGGATAGCCCAAGTGCTTGGGCCCTGCACCTGCATGGGAGACCAGGAGAAGCACCTGGCTCCTGCCATCGGATCAGCGTGGTGCACCGGCCGCAGCGGCCGTTGGAGGGTGAACCAACAGCAAAAAGGAAGACCTTTCTCTCTGTCTCTCTCTCTCACTATCCACTCTGCCTGTAATAAAAAATTCTAAAAAAAAAAAAAAAAAAAAAAAAAAATAAACCTCCCTGCAGAGATAATGGGGAAATCAAAAACTTTCTTAGAGAAAGGAAAACCAAGAGCACTTACTTCCCACAGACTAAAAGAATGGCTAATGGAAGTTCTGAAACAGGAAATGGTGAAAGAAGGAATCTGGGGAGGAAAAACAAAAAACATGAATAAATGCAATAGGCGTAGGCTCTACTTCGCTTCCAGTTATTGAGTGAGGTGTGTGGAAAGGAAACAACTGCTTGTGCTTCTCAGTGTATGTGAGGAGATGGTTGACAGCTACCGCTGGGACAGTGAGGGGCTCGGGGAAGGAAGAGGTCTTCACACAAGCTGCTCACCGGGGACACCTGCAGATGGCTCAGCTTTGCATAGACAGCATATTACATCAAGCAACCCCTAGGAAGGCTGCACAACAGAAATCCAAAACTAACATACATTTATCAAAATGGAATTCTCAAAAGGGGAGGAGGGTGTGTCAGTTAACCCAGAAGAAATCCAAGAGAAGAAAATGAACACATTGAAACAACCAGAAGACACTAATGGCAGAAAAACCAAAAGTGGTTTTTTCCCAATTCCAGCTGCCTGCCAGTGCAGACCCTAGGAGACAGCAGATGATGGCCTGAGTGCTTGGGTCCCTACCACCAGCATGGCAGACCTGGGTTGAGTTCCCAGCTCCTGACTTGTGAGCATTGGGGAATGAACCAGTGGATAGAATCAACTTTAGTCTCTCTCTCTTCTCTTCTCTTCTCGCCCCCTTTCTTGGACTGGTTCAGCATTCAAAAATCAGTTCATGTAATCCATCACATAATAGGCTAATGATCATACATGATTATATCAGTTGGTACAGAAAGAGCATTTGACAAAATTCAGTAGCCACTTAATGATTTCTTAAAGGAAACTCAGTAAACTAGCGATAGGAGAACCTCTTTCACTTGATAAAGAACATTTCCAAAAGCACTCTGCTGTTAACATCATACTGACTGGTGAGAAATCAGGAACAGGGCAAGGCTTTCCCCTCTCACCATGTCTATCAACCTGCTGGAAGTTCTAGCTAATACCGTAAGGCCAGAAAAGGAAGTTGAAGTGACATGGGTTGGGAAGGGAAAAAATATATCTCTGTTCTTCGTAAATGACAATCATCTATATAGAAAGATCCAAAAGAATTTACTCAAAAAGTAGAAACTGATAGATTATAGCAAAGTTGAAGGATACAATCTTAGTGTGTACAAGCCAATCACTTCCCAATATACCAGCAATGGACAAGTAGAATTAGAAAATAAAGACACAACGGGCCGGCGCCGCGGCTCACTAGGCTAATCCTCCGCCTAGCGGCGCCGGCACACCGGGTTCTAGTCCCGGTCGGGGCGCCGGATTCTGTCCCGGTTGCCCCTCTTCCAGGCCAGCCCTCTGCTGTGGCCAGGGAGTGCAGTGGAGGATGGCCCAGGTGCTTGGGCCCTGCACCCCATGGGAGACCAGGAAAAGCACCTGGCTCCTGGCTCCTGCCATCGGATCAGCGCGGTGCGCCGGCCGCGGTGGCCATTGGAGGGTGAACCAACGGCAAAGGAAGACCTTTCTCTCTGTCTCTCTCTCTCACTGTCCACTCTGCCTGTCGGAAAAAAAAAAAAATAAAAAAAAGATAAAAAAAAAAAAAAAAGAAAGAAAATAAAGACACAGGGACCAGCATTGTGATGCAGTGGATTAAGCTGCTGCCTGCAATGCTGCCTCTCACACGAGCACAGCTGCTCCACTTTCCATCCAGCTCCCTGCTAGTGCGCCTGCCTGGGCCCCTGCTACCCACGTGGGGCACCCGGATGGAATTCCAGGCTCCTAGCTGCAGCCTGGCCCAGCTTCAGCTGTTGTGATCATTTGGAGAGTGAACCAGTAGATGGAAGATCTTTTTCTCTCTGTCTCTCCCTCTCTCTTTCTCTCTCTCTGCCTTTTAAATAAATATCTTTAATGAAGGAAAAGAAGAGATGGTTGGGGCATGTGTTTTAGGTAGCAGTTAAAACACTGCTTGGGAATATATAGATTAAAGTCCTGGCTCCACTTCTGATTCCAGCTTCCTGCTAAATGCGCCCTAGGAGGCCAAATAGTTGAATCCCTGCCACCCACATGGGAGACCCAGATGGAATTCATGGATCCTGCCTTTTTCCTATCCATGCCCTGGTTTTGTGGGTATTTGGGGAATGAACCAGAAGATGGGAGATCTCTATCTCTCCCTCTCTCTCTAACTCTGACTTTCAAATAAATAAATACATAAACCTTTTTTTAAAATGGCCTAAATCTAGGGGCCGGCACCATGGCTCAGTTGGTTAATCCTCTGCCTGCGGCGCCGGCATCCCATATGGGCACCGATTCTAGTCTTGGTTGCTCCTCTTCCAGTCCAAATCTCTGCTGTGGCCCAGGAGGGCAGTGGAGGATGGCCCAAGTCCTTCAGCCCTGCACCCGCATGGGAGACCAGGAGGAAGCACCTGGTTCCTGGCTTCAGATTGGTACAGCACCGGCCGTAGCGGCCATTTGGGGAGTGAACCAATGGAAGGAAGACCTTTCTCTCTGCTCTCTCTCACTGGCTATGACTCTACCTGTCTGACTCTACCTGTCAAATAAAAAATAATAATAATAAAAATGGTCTAAATCCAAAACGCTAGCAACACTGAGTATTGCAAGTGTTTCATTCTTTACTGGCAGGACTGCGAAATGGCACAGCCAGTTTGGAAAACAGTTTGACAGTTTCTTACAAAACTAAACATCCTCCTACCATATGATCCAGCATTCACACTCCTTGGTGTT